AAAACCTGAAAAGCACTGTTTATTTTATTTGTATCTTAGCTCTATCGCATTTATTTGTGCTGTTGCTTGTAGTAAGATTATTTGTTTTTATTTTCTTTATTTTTATTTGACAATATAGTTTTTTCCCTAAACATAGCACATACCGAACCGTACCGAAACCGTGACTCTAGAACCGTGATACAAACCGAACCGTGAGTAAGTTGAACCATTGCACCCCTAATATATTTGCATAATTTCAATACAAACAGTGTCACACAAATGATTTAAAGCAAGAAAGAGCTAGTTGGTTTATATAGCACGTTTCATACAGAATGGCAATTCAATTCGCATAGGCATAATAATGAAAAAGAAATTAAAGTAATGTTAAAATTATTTTAAATTGGACTAAATAAAAGTGAATACAATTTTTTTTTTAAAGAAGGTAAAAGAAAAAGTTAATAAAATGACATTTATCATAATATTGAAATTAATCATTTATTTATAATTATAAATCTATAATGAAATATAATCATTAGGGATGCACCGATACCGATATCGGTATCGGGCCCGATACTGAGCTCTTGTACTAGTACTCGTACTTGTTAAAATGCCCCGATACCAAACAGCATGTGATAAGTGCCATATTCAGACAACGAAACACCGACAACAGACAGCAGAATGGAGTTATTAGAGATTAAGGATGTCTACGAAGTATATGTATGCAATGAATATAATGGTAAACATTCACTATTAACACCTGTATAGCTGATGTGCGCGAGCTGATGAGCAAAGCACGCTGAGTGGATTGTATGCGCAGTGGCGCAGATGCGCGAGCTTGTCGAGTGAATATATCTTTCTCACAGACATCACTGGAAAGCTTGCAGTTCGGTCGGATGTGTCAAAAACAAGTAAAACAATGCACAAGTTACTTAACGGTAGGGAGAGAGAGAGAGAGAGAGAGAGAGAGAGAGAGAGAGCGTGTTGTGTGATCTTTGATGTTCACTCACTTAGCACACGGCACACGCATCATTTGGATTAAAACTAAATCGTAAAAATAAGACCATTTATAGGGGCATTCACTATAAACATAATTTATTTTCAACCTTAGGCATACACGACTTTCAGGCGAAAGTGAATCTAGCAGCCTGTGTGAAAAGCACTAGGCTGTAGCCTACTAGTACTTGTCCCTCTCATTCTGCATCAGTACTTTTGATTTCTGTACCCAATATTTAAAAAATGTACAAATGCAATAAAAATATCGGTATCGGAAAGTACCAAAAATTAAAGTATCGGTATCGGGCGAGTACTGGAAAAAGTGGTATTGGTGCATCCCTAGTAATAATGAAATACTAAATAAAAATACAACTTCACAATAAATAATTCATTTAAATAAATAATAATTTACATTAATTAATTAATTAATTATAAATTGAATGAATATATAAAAATTATATACAATAAATAAATAATTTGAAAGAAAGAAAGAAAAAGTTTGAATCAGTGTTGCATCACTTCTA